ACGCGATTAGAAACGAAGGTAATTAATTGACTTTAATATAATCTATGTAAGGTCACCAATCGGAGGTACCTTTGACATAAATATTATTTTAACATCTTTATGTTTGCATATTTTTGTCTTTATTAAGGTAGTCGGATCCTTCAAACCTTTTTTAAAAAATCCTACAATTACGATACATATTCATTTCCTATTAATCTATAATTAAATAAAGGTATTGCCATGATTGTGAGGATGAGTGAACAGTGTTTGATCTGTGCAATGTTTTAAAAAATTTCACTGTAGTCACATTAATTTTTTAAATTTATGCAAAAAAGAAATGACTAACCATTTGTTTTAACTAAAACAAGGACAGGGAGGATGGGAAAGAGAGTACTGCTTGCATAATACTTCAACTCTCGATCCAATTACTCATCAAATGATTTTGAGAGAAAATGAAAAAAGAAAGTTTATCACCAAATGTGTCTTTCCTCGGAAGGTCGTGATAACAATAAGATATATTCCTAGTACGAGATTTCTTCCTTTCCTTGCACCGCAGACGAAAATTTTGAAAATTATTTAAGACCAAGTGCCTAGAATTTATCCATTAAAAAATGAAAAGTTTTTTGAAACTAAAAAGTTTATAATAATTTATCTGATTTGGATCATAACTCTGAGTGTGTATTAGATTAATCTTTTTTTAAAGATGAAAAAAAACCAAGACCTGGGCAATCATTTACTAATGCTAAAAGGCAATATGAAATTTTGGTTTATTCATATAATCATACATTAGCTGAATACGATGGATTTTATAAAGCGTTAAAAAACAGTTTTGATGTTGAAATCGAACATCGAGTAAAAAGCTTTTTTTAATTTTGTATATTCTATTCTATTCTCATTTTTTAGAACAATCCTAAACCCGTACAACTTATCAGTCAAATGATAAATCAACTAAACGAGCTTCTTCGAATTAACGAAGACCTTTTAGACAGACTTACAGTAGGTAGTCATACAATTATTCCTAAGAAATTCACATCTCGATTGAAGCGAATCGAAAGGAATGTACTTAATTAATTTTACTATAAGTAAAATCACCAACCGGGAATTTCCTCTGAAAAAATATTTTTTAGCTTGGAGGGTTAAAGAGATTTACTAAAATTAAAAAAAATTATTTTATTAATTGATTAACACATACAGATGCGGAAAAAGGTGTGCATTAGCAACTTGAAAGAGGGAAACATGGACGAGGTCGCAGCAGGCGGGCATCATGGATCTGGTCCGGAAACTGAAGTATTATTAATATATTTATTTCCTATTAATCTATAATTAAATAAAGGTATTGCCATGATTGTGAGGATGAGTGTGTGATCGTGTAAATAAGATAAATGCTAGAGACCGGACCGTGATCTCGATAGAATATCGTTATCGATATCGAGCACTCCCAGTCGTATGACACACACAGTCCAGTCTCTAATCAATACTATATCATAAAATTCAAAATTACTAACTTTTACTTTGCTTCAAGTGTTGAACTTACATATTTAATTTTTTGTAAAAAGCTGTCGCGAAGCGAAGTCGGAATTACAACTTTTAATTTTTCCCATAAATTTATTTGTATTTATACTTTTTATCTACTAAATCTAAAGAATTTTCACAGCCTTTTCTAAAAACATAAACTTTAGCCTGTATTCTTTTTGTGTCCATATATTTCTTTATATATGCTTATTCTTCTTCCTGCTTATATATATTTTCCTTAGCTATTTATAACAAATTGTGTGATGTTTTAAAAACAAGATATGTTATAGTATCTAATGCTTTATTATGTAACCTTTCTATTCTTTCTTGCACAATTTGTATTAGTTTTTAATTTCACGAACTTTTAATATTTTTATTCTAAAATTTTTCACTGATTTGTAGTAACTCTTGTGATAAATCATAGAGATTAGATAAATTTCCTTTTTTAATATTAATAAGCATAGAAAGTTTCTCTCTAGCCTAGAAAGTTTTAAAATATTTTTCGATTTCACAAAATAAAATTATTTCTACAATACAAATTACATTCCATATTGGACGAATTTTGAATTCCTCGATAATTTGAAGATTGTTCTTAAGGAGTTTGAGTTATTGGTAATATTCTGGGTGAAGTTGTTTTTCTAATTTGTGGAAGTATTACACTTCCATTCTCAACATACTTAGAATGTGAAGGTAAAAATACTGCATCTTGTGAAGCAGTTAATCTTCCATTTGCTAAATTAAGTGTATAGGAGATAGTCCTCCTTTCATTTATTTGTTAAATAATGATTATTTATGGAACATAAGTGGAAGTTTTATGAAACCAATGTGGAGGATGAAAAATCCTAGAAATTTCAGAAATTGTACAATTTTTTACACGGTAGAGTGCAAAAATGCTGTTATTAATATTTAAAAACAAATTTTTATTTAAAAATATATTTCAAAATTTTTTAAATAAATTATTTCGAATGAATTAAAAATTTAAATAAATTTCCATAGGGAAGGCGGTTTTGCCAAATATAAAAGTTAATCAATAGTACATATGTCCGACATAAAAAAATAAATTTTTTAATTCGATTTTTGTGTTTTTACATGTAATTATCAATAATAGTAAGTCAATTTATTGATATAGTCTATCAATAAATAAAAAAATAGTTTATTTAGGGGTAAAAAGAAAAAGAATTGATAAATATTTAAAGAATTTGTCGATAGGAAAAGTATAAAATTGTGAAATGATCGGATACACTCATACATACATGCCGTGAAAGTCCCGTAAATTGAATGGCTATTAAATTCACGAGATGCTTCACGGCACGTAAGTTACGTGCGCGTCTGTGAGTCTTTAAAAAGAGAAGGAAATTGTTTATTGCTTTATTCGTTAATTAACTACAATAAACATTTGAAGTCCTCCAATTCCAATTTTTATGATATACTTGCTTATTTAAATTTAATTTTTATTAGGGTTACATTTCACTCTTGATCTGAAAAATTCGTCGTAACCGAAGAGTTTAATTTAACAGAGAATTCTTAAATCGAAAGGGAAAAGCGCTTTTATCTAAAAGATCTGTGGGTATACCGAGTTTTAGGGTCTTTTTTTATTATTTTTTTCATTTTACATATGTAGAAAGGTTGGATTTTTCTTTGCAAAATTTCACTCAATTTTCCCTGTAGCATGTTCATTGAAAGAAATTAGTAGTGTTAAAACCAAACTTTAGTCTGTCCGAGAATAACAATAATTTACTCTCAAATTTGTTTGAGGAACTATCTTTATTTATTTTTATTTTAACTCTCAATTAATGAAGACAACATTTATTCAAGATTTTATTTTAAGATTTAAGTTTAGTTCAATTGAAGGTGAAAAATGTATAAAACAAATGGGTATTTAATTGGGTACAAGCAGGCGGGGATTGAGTATGTTTGGAATGAAAAAGTTTGATATATAAAGCAGTAAATTTTATGAGGGAAATATTTGAATATGATAAAGGAAAGGTTTTAGTTTAAGAGATTATTTTACAAACATAAAGAAGGGAAATATTTAAATTATATGCCATTCAAATTTTTAAATTCTCGTAATTAGAAATTAGTCAATAAATTTAAAAAATAAATTTTACTAGGGGTAAAAAGTAAATTAAACAGAATATAGATTTTCAATTCTCGAGTCATCTATTGTTTTATTCATTTTCACCATTTAAAATATTTGGTTAAAGGAATAGGTATTTTTAATACCATATTAAATTTTATAAATACCGTATTTCTTGTAATATTACTCCTCCTTAATTAAAAGTTCCCCTTAATACTACTCCCCGTAAAATAGCCTCCAATATAGGCGGATATATTATTAAAGATGAAATTTATTCTTTGTATTATCTTATTTATCCTATTCATTATTTTGTAGTCTATTTGTTTATCTTAATATTATTAAAATGAGTGTTAGCATTTCTGTTTATATCTCAAGAGTATAAGAGATCAAGAGGGATAAGAAAGGATATACCCCGAAAACTTCAAAACTTTTTAGGGTTGGGGGACGGGGTTTTCAAATTGTTTCGGGGCGGCGTTCGTGTCGGGAGGTATTAAAAAACCTTTTTGGACGGGATTTGGGATTGGTGTGTGACTCTAGTTATAAATAAAAGTTAGAGCTAGGAATTTTGAAAAAACCGGGACCGGGTCCGGGAAACGGGTTCTGAAAAATGGACCGGGCGGGAACCGGGTCCGGGAAACCGGGAAAACCCGTTCCCGGTTTCAACCCGGTCTAGAAATGAGCGGGTCCCGGCCGGGAAACCGGGAAATTTTTAATTCATTGAAAATTAGTTCAAAAATATATAAATGTTTGAAACAAATATAAAATGAGTTTTGCAGTTAACAAATTTATCATTAATAAATATAAATTGCAATTAATAAATATAATTAAGCGCTGGTATGGCTTTATTTAAAAAAATAATCATTTCCGCAGTTTCAGGCTTCAAACTTGATCTTTTATAATCATAAGTGTCTCGTGCTGTACTAAATAATTGCTCTGAAGCTACACTTGTGGCCTGTGCTGTTAAAAATCGCCTAGCAATTGAAGCCAGCTTTGGAAACTTTTCTTCATTAATTCGCCACCAATCTAAAGGATCTTTTCTCTGTTCCAAATTTGGTTCCTCAGAATAAATTTTTATCTCCTGACTTAGAACTTTTTTTACTTGTGGTTCTGTGAATATAATAATTAAAACAGAAATTCCAAATAATTTACCTATAGTTTTACTTGTACTCGCAAATTCCTCAACTTCATCAAGAAAAGTAAATTGTTTTTTTGAAATAGGACTGGAAATTTCAGGCTCACTCTCACTATCAAACAGAATATCCTTAATTTTTTATAATTTTAAAAATATTCTGAATATTAAATAACCTCATTTTCTTCCTCTAAAAGCCAGGTAGTAATTTTGGAAAGGAAAGTAATCCGATCTTTGAAGAAAAAATGCTTGAACCTAGGGTCCACAAAAGTAGAAACTGCATGAAGCCTGTTTAAAAACATTCTAATAAATATATATGTTTATAAAATACTTATCAGTTTCCATAGAAAGAAATCTTTTCCTTAGACCATCAATTAATCGCATTTTAACTTCTTCAACTTCAAACAATTCAGTCATTACTCCGTCGATTTCTACTCTAACATCAATTTTCTGTAGTTTTATTATTAATGTTTGTGCATAAGGAATTTTAGTAGAAAGTAGAGACTCGCAGAAACAACGAGACATTTCTTCAGTTGGAGTTAACAGTTTCTATAAGTTATTTAAATTTCATGTATTTTTAATAAAAACCTCTATTAAACTAAGTAAATGCCATTCACGATCATTTAACACAAGTTCAAATTCTCTTTTTTGAAACATAAGTTCGTCGACTGCTGCTTTTTGTTCCAATATTCGTCTTAACATAATTAACAAACTGTTCCAACGGGTCGTTATATCCTATGATATTTAAAATAGTATAGACCCAAATTTATGAACCTGTAACAGTTTGTGAAGTGGAAGGCCAAGTTCCAATTGAATTGTTTTGAATTCATTGAAGGCTTTGGGTGAGTGTTTCATGTGGCCGATAATACGTCTACACTTCTCAAAAGTATCCAAAATAGCATTTTTTTCTTTACCAAAAGCATCTTTTACGCACAAATTTAACTCATGAGCCGCACAATTAGCATGTTTTATTTCATTAAATTGGCCTTCATCGTTTTCTGCATTCCAAACACGTATCATTGAAATACCTCGTTTCATATTTGATGCTGAATCTCTTAGAAATGAATGGCATTTCTCTTCCAGTCCCCATTCACAAATAAGTTCTTCTAGTATAGCTGTAAATAACTTGTATAAATAATTTTACACTAATTAACCTGCTATTCTCTCTGATGTGTGACTGCCATTAAATTTACGAATAGCTAAAATGTGCTTCTTTTTAGTCCAATCTTTAGTAATACCGTCACATGTTAAACTGAAAATTTTAATAACTTGTGATAATAAATATTAGTAACCTTATGAAGGAATCTTTAGTTGTATCGGCTGTCCAAATATCCGTAGAGAAGCTTAAGGCAATACATTTTTTCAGCTCTTCTTTAATTAAACTTTTTACTCTTTTAAAAATGACTGGCAATATTTCCTTCCTGTATGTTGATTGATCTTTAGGTTTTTCAATTTTGAATAAATTTTTAAAAGTAACATGATTTATAATATTGAATGGCAAATTACAACAGATAATAAAATTTAACACCTTTTTATCTTGAGCAGAAATGTTGCCTATTAATTAAGCAAATTATTATTTTAAAAAATTACACACCTGAGCTTGTGATATTCATAAAATTGGTTATTTTTTCATCTTTTGAGTTCCCTTTGCTATTTACTAATTCTTGATACTTTTGAATATAATTAGAATCTTTGTGCATTGATGAAGATAAATGCCTAATAAATGTAGTAACACTATGATCCGAAATCTTCAAAATTTTTTTGCAGTCTGTACATTGTATATCACCGCTATCAAGACGTTGAAATAATTTTTCTCCATCCTGTCTTATAACACTCCAGATGGGATGTTTCATAGACATATCTAATAAGAATTTCGATTCTAAAAAATACATGTTGTTTATGAATATTTAGTTTATTTTTAAATGAAGAGTTTAAGAATTATAATACTTTCCAAAAAACACTAAACTTTTTTAAAAATAAAAACAAAATGCCAAATTAAAATATTCGAAATTTAATAAAAATATTCTTCCCGGTTTCCCGGTATAAAAATGGCCGGGACCGGGTCCGGGAAACGGGTTTTGAAAAATGGACCGGGCGGGAACCGGGTCCGGGAAACCGGGAAAACCCGGTCCCGGTTTCAACCCGGTTGCTTTAAAAAAACCGGGAAAAAGGACCCGGAAACCGGGAAACGGGTCCGGGTCCCGGACCCGTTCCTAGCTCTAATAAAAGTACATTATTTTAAAATCGACACTTGGACTTTAGAAATTGAAAAATTGCATTGAGTTATAAAATCCGCCGTCTTATGATTGCATATGTTCAATCGCGAGAGTGTTTGCCCTAAGGGTAAAAAAGAGTTAAATAGAATATAGATTTTCAATTCACGAGTCATTGATTGCCTTATCCATTTTCTCCATTTAAAAAATTTGGCTGGTTTAAGAAGATAGGTTATTTCTCAATATACAGTATATTAAAATCGACTTGTACTTTATAAATTAAAAAGCTTGACTCTTGCATTTTATAAGTCTTGAATAGTAAGTCAGGCGATTATTAATAAGAGAATATGCCGCCGACATATGTAGTGTGTATATCCAATCATGTGTTTGTTTTAAATTAATAGTCGTCTGACCGTCCATTCAAGACATACCTCTTAAATTTAAATTCTCGCTAGTTTAAAATTAGTGAAAAACATTTATTATTAGGTGTAAAAAGAAAATTAAACAGAATATAGAATATAGATTGTTTTATTTATTTACTCCATCTAAAATATTTGGTTAAAGGAATGGGTTTAATTTTAGAATACTATATTAAAGTTTTATAAATACCGTATTTTCTGCAATATTACTTGTTGGATCCTTGATTTGTTATTTTAAAATGATTTATATTTTTTAAATTAGATATACTTTTTTAGTTTTACTTTGATTGTCATTTATTTAAATATTCTAATCCTTTTCAACAGTCCCCAACCCAAATATTAAGCTTTCTTTTTCTTTAAATGACCTTTTCTTTATGTTTTAAAATAACCTTTCAATTCATAAACGTTCTTTGTATTTGAAAATAATCTTTTCGTTTCCTTAATCAATTTAAACTTTTCCCATTGGCTCATATCCAAATAATAAATAACTTTGTTTAATAATGTGTTTAATTAAGTTCACTTCTTCATCTATCTAAAATATACTTTTATTCAAATCACCGCCTTGTGTTCTTGACTATATAAACACCCAACACATTTACTCAATTACCTTAATTATCTATTTCATTTCTTTTAAATAAATAAACTTGTTTTATAGAAAAAGACTTGTAATTTAATTTGGAAAAGTAACCTGAAATTACTTTGTAATCTATTTGTTTATCTTAATATTATCAAAATTGTGTTAGCAATTCTGTTTATAAGAGGGATAAGAAAGGAACCCAAAAACCCCAAAAACTTTTTAGGTTTGGAGGGAATTGAAAATCCATATTCTATTTAACTCTCTTTTTACCCCTAGTAATTTTTTTTCAAATTTATTGGCTAATTTCTAATAAGGTTTATAAGGTCTAATATGGTTTAAAGGTTTAATGGGTTTAATGGCAAGTCAGGCGACTCTTAATTTAAAACATATGTCGGCGGCATATTTTCTTTTAATAAGGCCTGACTTACTATTCAAGACATATAAAGTGCAAGAGTCAAGCTTTTCAATTTATAAAGTGCAAGTCGATTTTAAAGTACTGTATATTGAGAAATAGATGTAGTAGGTATGTATAATCAAAATTGAGAGTGTTTACTCTAAATTAATGAAGGCCTGACTTGCCATTCAAGACATGCCTCGTAAATTGCCGGAGTTTAAAATTAATAAATTTGAAAAAATATTTAAGCTAGGGGTAAAAAGAAAACTTAAACAGAATATAAAATATAGCTATTCAATTCATGTAACGCCCACATCTCCTTGCCTTTAAAATAGAAGAATAATTTGTTTATTTCATTATGCTTCATTTATAATATTTGGCTGATTTTGAGGAATGGGTTTATAAAAGTTTAACTTAATTTTTTTAAATTTAAGGATGAAAATTTACAATTTAATCCTTTTAATCTTTTATTTTTTTCAACTTTTTCCATTGTTATTTGGAATGAATCCAGGAGAAGGTCCTTCAGGATCACAACAATCAGTCGAACGAGATGTTTGTATTATTGTAGCTAAATAAAAAATTTAAAAATATTTATTAGGTTTTTAATCAATTAAACAAACACTGTCAACCTTGGATTAAAAATTATTATAACTTAAATCCTTGTGATGACATAGCCCCTCGCTCGTTAAGTAATATTTATTTTTATTTATAAAAATATTTTTTAACTATAAAAACGATTAATTTAATTATCAAAATAATAGATAGCCAAGCAGCTGAGCATCAAATCACCGATTATCAGGAACAAAATGATAATTTGGTTTGTGCATATAAAGATTTATGGATGGTTAGGCCCTGCTTCGCAGACCCCGCAAAGCAGAGTTTAACCGAATATATTAATCTAGTAAAATAAAAAAAATATAAACATTTTTAATAGGTTCATGATAATGTAGATGACCAATTTAATCATTTGATGCAAACATTTGGAGACTTTGATCCTTTCACTGGTAACCGAGCTTACCATTTAGGTAAGAGTTATTTAAATTTATAAAAATATAATTTTTAACTAGGGTGGGACAAAACCGTTTAATTTTGAAAAAATCATATACCGTTTATGCCGTTTCTCTGAGACCCGTATACCGTTTCGTTTATTTTGTTTTTTGCTTTATTTTATATTCATTTTTTTACTCGATAAAAAAGGCCCGAAAAAATGGCTTGTATGAGATCCGCTTATATGAGATCTGTTAAAAAGTAAACATATTTCTTTCGATTTTTCTTCTAATACCAAGTATCGCTACTTCCGGTGAACCTCTACTCGGTATACCTACATTGAGATACTGAGCTTATATTATGGTAATATTATGATATGAGAATTAATTATTATGAGAATTAATTAATATGAGAATCTCATAATATTACCGCAGGTAATATTATGAGAATTTCAAGAATCCAAGTAGCCAAAATTCTACTTTTTTTAGCTCCGAAGCGAAAATTCTGAGAATTTTGGAAAGCCAAGAATCCAGAATTTTAGTGTGTCAGAAGAAAAAATTTACATTTTAAGCCACTAATTCTAGAAAAAATTAAACACATTAAACGCCGTTTATAAGGACCGTATACCGTTTATGCCGTTTATCTGATACCCGTATACCGTTCCGTTTAATTTTGCCAAAAAACAGGTTTACTGTATACCGTTTAGCATAACGGTTTTTTCCACCGTATTTTTAACTATAAAAATAATTTATCTAAAAAAAAGAAAATCAAGAAATTGTGCAACAATTCACCAATGTGGGAGGACAATATGAAAATTTGGTTGAAAAATATTTAGAGTTATTAAAGGAATCTGATGAAATGAATGGAAATTTAATAAACATATTAGACGCCCGTAAACAATATCAGGCAAAAAAATTTTTTATAAAATTTGTTTT